CCCGGCCAGGGATTGTACCCGGGGCCACGGCAGTGAAAGCACCGAGTCCTAACCACTGGACCACCAGAGAACTCCCTGAGGGTTTTTTAAATATGAGAATACACAAACTCATATCCTATTACCTGACAGAGTAATGGCATCACCGTGTGTCCTTCAACCTCTGGAAAATGCCACCGTACACTTGAGAATGAGAGAATGAGAGTGAAACAGGCAAATGAGAGCTTAGTATTATGACGAGAATAGTTCTGACCTCATGAATTCCCTGAAAGAGTCTCAGAGACACCAGGTTGCCTGGACCACACTTTGGGAATTTCTGTACTAATAGGTTGTGACCCAGACTTTGAAAAACATGAACCTAGAAAAAGCCTAGACTGACTTTGGACAAAGTGAACCAGTCAGTCCAATTAGCTAAATTTCCTTCTCCATGTTTCCCTCTTGTTCTTCCTGAAAGAGGAGGGTATTATGGCTAATTCCCCAACAACAATTTCATGTAAGATAGTTAATCTAAGCCAATCCGTGCACCGCATTCCCCTGGCAACAGGGCCACGAGCATCATATGTCCTGGGTTGCCTCCATCAGACTAAAGAGAATTTAAATTCCATGATTGAGGGAGAGGTTTTCTCTCTCTGTGGATGTGAACAAGGGATGCTACTGGCAGAACACAGTGTTTACAAATGCTGTTGCAAACAGAGTGGGGATATGAGGAAAAAAAAAAAAAAAAAACCAACCTGGGAGTTGGATGACACTGAGTTAAGTACATCTTGCCTGGGGCCTCCTTTATCTCCAGTGGGCTTTGCAGCTCTGTGAGAAAACACATGTCCTTATTGTTAGAGTTGGGGATTTCTGTTACTTGCAGTAAAAAAACATATTGACGCACTGAGATTTTAGGAAAGTCTTGTTAAATATCCCATCCTGTACTCTGCTGGTTACAGAGTCTTTTAAAGGACACGTTGTGTGTGACCCTACTTAGCACAGAACCAGCAAGTTGGGAGTTGGGGTAATTAGATCAAGTTGATCAGGGGGCAGGAGCTAGGCTTTCAAGGACTGGCTGCCCCTTCCTTATGCGTATTCTTTTATTTATAGCTTTGTGGCAAGAAAAGTTGTATTTTATTAATGCAGGCACTCGAGTCCCAGGCATTCATTTTATGAACATCTATTTTTGTGACTTGTTCAGATGTGGCTTCTTTAGACACCCATCCTAGCCTCCAGCACACTACGTTGTAAGCATCTATCTACCCAATTAGACTGAGCTCCTTGAGGGCAGGGATTCAGTTTTATTCATCTTTGTAGACCCTAGGACTCTTCATTGACTGATACAAAATACGTTCACAGTAAACGTTTCTTGAAAGAATAAGTGGGGGGCTTACCTCGTAGCGCAGAGGTTAAGAATCCGCCTGCCAGTGCAGGGGACACGGGTTTGAGCCCTTGTCCGGGAAGATCCCACACGCCACGGAGCAACTAAGCCCGTGCGCCAGAACTGCTGAGCCTGCACTCTAGAGCCCACGAGCCACAACTACGGAGCCCCCGTGCCACAACTACTGAAGCCTGCGCGCCCAGAGCCCATGCTCCACAACAAGAGAAGCCACCACAATGAGAAGCCTGCACACTGCAACGAAGAGTAGCTCCCGCTCGCCGCAACTAGAGAAAGCCCTCACGCAGCAACAAAGACCCAACGCAGACAAAAATAAATGAATTGATTAATTTTTTTAAAAAAAGAATAAATGAATGATAATGAAACGCGCTCTTGTAATGCAGGAGTCAGCAAACTACAGACCATGGACCAAGTCTGGTCCGTGGTCTGTTTTTCTATGGCCCAGGAGCTAACAATTTTTAAATGGCTGAAAACTCAAAAGAGGAGTCATATTTCATACTATGTGAGAATTATATGATATTCAAATTTCAGTGTCCTAAACTTATATTAGAACACATCCTCACTCGTTCATTTACACATTATCGACATTTTTGCACTACAACATCAGAGATGAGTAGTTGCCACAGAGACCAACGGCCCACAGAGATTAAAATATTTACTTATTTTTACAGAAAACGTTGGCCAACCTGTAACGTTCTGATAATTGTGTAAAAACAATATACTCACATTTAGCAATCGTTACTGGTATGGGGGGAGATGAATGACTTTTCTTCTTTCTTGTATTTACCAATTTTTCTGTATTTTGCCTTTTTATAATTACCAAGAGTTGTAAAATACTACATGATTTGACCAATTTAAAATAAAATTCCTTTAATCCCTGTGAACTTGTTTCACATTTACTTTCCTGTCCGCATACTCCCAGAGATCTCTGATGTGGAAAGGACTAAATCTGAGGCCTAGCGCCTTGAAAATAAGACACAATAGCCAAGAATAAAATTAGAGGCAGGGCCAACTTTCCACATGAGGAAGTCTACTTACCATTCTTGGGGGGGTGGGCAATACACAAAGGCCCTTGAAATGGAAAAAAAACAAAAAGGTCACAGTTGAACTAATTAAATACAACACCACTTACTTGCCCTATGGGGGCACTCTCTCCGGGTATAATGGGAGGGAATTATTTTAGCAACTTGCAAGGAAACAATACATACTTATATATTGTTAAGTCTCTAAAGTACTATTAGAGAGGAAACAGGTTCAGGTCATCATTTTACTTTTCAGGGCAAAACCTGATTATGAGATGAATTTTTTTTTAATTCTAGAAACAGGCAAAGTAGCTGTTTGCTTTCATCTTTCCCACTCTACCAACCTTGACCAGGAAGGGAAATGATGAACCTTTTGAGATTTAATGCATTCAGTAACTCCTTTTTCAAGTAGATCAAGAACCTAAGAAAGGCAAATGTGAGAAATGCTTGTAAAGCCAACTGATGACTGGCAGATATTTTTTATAAAGAAAAATTGTTAATTCGCTGTGAAGGAAAATGTGTAATAATTTACCAGCTGTTGGAATTGTTTAATAACAGCGCTTGCATGACATGAATTGTTATTCTAAATAACATAGGGTCTGGATGCAGAAAAGGTAAGCTGTCAAACAGAACCTTGTGCTTTGTTATTCCCTGCAGCAAACTGCGACCGGATCACCAACCCTGTTTCCTCTTCTTTCTGGGCACGCGGCTATCTGCTATTTTCCAGTCCCCTTTGGGCTTCTGTGTGGACACAGGATTGACTTCCGGCCAGCAGAACGTGGGTAGAAGTGATGCATGCCTCTTTCAGGCCCGACAGCCCTCATACCTGCAATGTTCCAGTTTTCTTCTGCTGACTAAACAGAGAAGATTCCGAGGACCCAAGAGGCAGAAGACGCCACAAGATGGAAGAAACTGTTGCTGCTTTGGAGGCGAGCCACCTGACCAGGAACACCCATACTGGACTGTGGTGGGACCATTAGTCTGTCCTGTACATGTTCCCATGTTCAGGAGGGCGCTAACTCTCCGCAAATGGCTGAATCTGATCTACCTATAAGCAGACAACTGAAATCACGTGACCAGTTTCTCTGACTTAAGAACAATCTTGCCAAAGAGGGTCTTTCAAATTCAAACCAGGCTTCTCCTAACATTCAAAAGTACCACTGATGGGAAAATTGTTTTCTTCATTATGATTAACTCAAGACAGAGGCAGTGACATGGGCACTGCCGATTCTCCACTAGATAAGAACTTTGGCAACACTCTAGTTGGTTTGGAATAGCTCGAAATTTTTGGTTCAGATTTAATCTGCTCATTTGCAGATAAAGTAGGAAAGATCACACATATGGCCCTAACATAATTATCAATCTCTTACAAAAACATTTTTTCGGTCAAGAACAAATCTCTTAAGTCATTTTACACAATCCCTTCTCATTAGGCAAGATGGATCTTCTGGAAGATCCGGGAAACTGACCTCAGAAATGTCACTGCTCTTGTGGTTTAGACATATTATTACCCAAAAAGAAAGGTATTTAATCAAAGGAAGCCAACTCAGACAAGAATAGGATACCTCACACCAAAGCGACATTAAATTTTTTTATTGAACAGAAAAAATAAAACATGGAAGTGGAATTCACTGAGCGAAAGCAGCTCACCAGGTGGAGCTGCTATACTTTGTGCTAAATAATCTTATGAACTGAGTATACAGAATACATATAATATGTAAGTTACCTCAACAGCAAAGGAGAAGGTGTAGATTACAGTTTTGGAAGGAAAAATTTGGCCAAATGACAAACTGAGTTGCTCAAAATTTCTAGCCCTTATTCACCTAAATTCAGTATGATTCTACATACGTGCATTCAGTACGTGCATACTGAATTCCCATTTTAATGGAAGCTGCTATTTGGAAGAAATTTCAAAGTTTTCTTTTTTGCATTTGTTTGACGTGCTACTCAGTTTTTAAAATTCTTCTATTTGATATATGTGTGTGTATATATTTATACACACTTAAAAAACCCCAAAGCCTTGCTTACAAGTTGAGGGGTCACGCTGTTTTTTTAAATTAATATTCGTGAATTACAATTATTCTTTCTCCTGTGTGTCTAAGAAACTTGATGTGTTCTCAGTGTACCCCACAGACAGGTGGGCTGACAGATATGTCAAAAATACTTTATGAAAAGAGGGGGGTAGCTCATGCGAGTTGGCAACCTTTGTCTATTGTTTCCTGTTGGAGCGGGCTACCTCCCTTTCACATCTCACAGTCAAAGATGAAAGGAAAACTTTTCACTTTGAAGCCTAGTAGCACGGTTGTACATTTACTATAATCCACCTTCAACTTGGTTTATTGGGCTTTCTAATGTAAGATGACAAATACCTTACACCCAGTACACAGCATCAAAAAAGTACTGCAGAAACATCTTATAGACAATACCTTGCCTTGCTTTTTTTTTTTTTTTTTTTTCTCTCCCTGTTTTTAATCAAAAAAGTACTGCAGAAACATCTTATAGACAAATCCTTTCCTTGTTTTTTTTTTTTTTTTTTTTTCCTCCTCGTATGTTAAACATCAGCTTCTATGGGATACGTTTCCAGAATGGTTTTGTTACCACTTTATAAACACTCAGAGCCAAACAAACAGCACAAAGAACATCAATGTCGTCTTTTTTCCAATATTTGTATCAATTACTGGAGGCTAATCCTAACATACACTACTTAAGGGGGGGGGGCGAAAGAAGAGAATCCATGACACGTTGCAAAGATAGGACTACAGCATCTTAGTTGTAGGGACGATCTTAAGGTGCAGAAAGAGGGGACTCTCTAGAAGGTGATGGTGTGGTTTCTTCAGGTGGAAAAACTGTGAGTGTGCAAGCTCGGATGCCACCCAGGGACTCTGGGAGATCAAAAACCTTATGCCATTCATCTTTATCTGGATCATATTTCTGCACTATCTCTACCATACAACGATTATTCCATGAATACCCACCAACCACGTAGATTTTATTTTCAAAGACAGCGACCCCAACATCACTCTGCCCTCTTAACATGGCAGCAATTGGGGTCCACTGGTCAAGGATCGGTGAGTAGTATTCACAGCTTAGGACATCATCATAATCGCTTGTTCCTCTGAAGTGATTGCCACCAATGACATACAGCCTTTCTCCCACTGTACACATGCAGTGCAGACCTCTGACAGTGGTCATTGGCGCCTTCTGGATCCATTTGTCAGTATCAGGGTCAAAGCACATGAGCTCCTTTTGGAAAGTGTCATGAGTAATTCCTCCTAGAGAATGAAAATTACAGGCATGGGGTAAACAGATTATTATAAAAATGCAAAAGTAAACAGGAGGCTCTCTGTAACAGGTCACAGATAATTAACGTCTATCCAGGTATTATGACATTTTAGAGCTTATCAACCTTGTTCTTATAAATGTCTCCCTGCTATACTTTCTCTGGATTAAAAAATGAAGAAAGTAACATCTTCATCTCCTTAAAGAACAAAAATGCAGCTTATATCATTGTAATGACTTTCTCAAACAGAGACCCATGGGATTTAAGAGGCTTTACAGAATGAAAATATATTTTGGCCAGTCTTAGAGTTGGGTTTACAGGAAATCCCAACTACAAAGCATCATTCACTTCTGCTGCTCTTCAGCGAGCACCCTCTGGGTGCTGAGCACAGGGCTAGGGCACTTTAAAGCCTAGGTGCCCGTTTCCTCATTTGTCAGATAAGAATGTCCACTCTAGTTCTCTCATTAGGATTGTGACTATGAACTGAAATAAATCACAGTGCTTTGAAAAAGTCGAAAGTATTGCGCAAATGTAGAAGCTTATAGGAATATTCGGAACTGATTATTTTTGTAGAGTTTTGGGTGGGTAGCGTGAGGGTGGGTAATGTCCTCTCTTAAAAAGCTGAAGAATTATGGAATTTTGTATGTACAGCAATTCGTTGTTGCTCTATTGAGTCTATATCATCTACAGAGTATATTCTTAGAGCACATCTAAATCAGCCTGTACAATGAAAGTATCAGACTATATATTCTGCAGATTAGGGAGAAAACTAAACTAATCTTTAGCCATATCATTCAAAGCTCTATGTCTGGTGGCCAGATGGCAATCAATTTTTTTTCTGCTTTTAGATATTTTTTCTGTGCTTCACTGAATTGCCAGCAAGCAAAACAGTGCTCTTTGGTTTGAAACTCAGCTGTGGTTCCTAGCCTACTCTTGACTGGGAAGGTCATTTGTGCAACGTATCCTAGTTATGCCAAAGCACCACTAGAACAATTCGAATGTCATTTTTCCCCCCCAGAGGACTTGGAGCTCTCCTTATAATGGCATAGCAGCTACACACGTAAATTAGGTGGATGGTGTAAATCATTGATTAGTGGAGCATATGATTTCCTGGATGGCTCTTTCAATATAAGACGTCCCGGGCTTCCCTGGTGGCGCAGTGCTTGAGAGTCCGCCTGCCGATGCAGGAGACGCGGGTTCGTGCCCCGTTTCGGGAAGATCCCACGTGCCGCGGAGCGGCTGGGCCCGTGAGCCATGGCCGCTGAGCCTGCGCGTCCGGAGCCTGTGCTCCGCAAATGGGAGAGGCCACAACAGTGAGAGGCCCGCATAACGCAAGGAAAAAAAAAAAAAAAAAAAATATATATAAGACGTCCCATAGTTGCTCATATATTTAACACCAGAAACCTGCCAGTCATACACTACAGGCCTTTCCCTGATCCTCCTTCATTAGAGATTTCATAAGGCAGCGTTCAGAGACTCAGACCACAAACATCACCTTATCGCCTTTGTTCTCTAATAGCGTAACTGCTGGCCTGGCACTGGCAGGCCTTCAAAAGGGGGAAAACTATCAGAGGTAGACTGTGTCAGGGCCAAATGGTAAGAACCTGAATAATGGAATAAAATTTCAATACATGAAGTGAACATTACATTAAAATAAGACTCCTTTCTAAATTCTACAGAAGGATGATTTGAACACCAACAGTCTGAGAATGAAAGTTGTTACTGGGACACTGAGCGAACTGCAGCTGTTTCAGAATTTTTTATCAGAAAAATATATGTGCATGTGGCCAAAATACAGGTAATCAACACAGAATTATTTATGCAATGACACCATAGTAGAACCCGTTATAATGCTAAGGACAAGAGAAACATATATTATGGGTTGCACTAAATGAGAGAATGAACATTATTATGCATTATATGTATATTGGTAGCAAGTTTTATGCACAGTAGAGCTTATATGTTACATAATGATATATTCCCTCATAGAGTTTAGCTAAATTCTGAATAAAAATGAATTAAATGTTGTTATAGAGAATATGAATGGTGGTTATTAGAGTACCGAGTTATTGGAGTACAGGGTATGGGGACTAAAAAGGCAAGCTGGAGAAGCTGAAAGCTTTCCAATTTCTTCTAAGTAAGGTATTTACAGTAGGATTGGTTTGCTGCTAGTCTTATAAACTTATAAAATGCCAAAGGATTCATATGCAAGTGTACACACAAAATATATTCTAAAATCAATACAAATTATATTTTGGTTATCCACTTCTGGGACTATTATTAACACCAGATGGAAAGATGGCGACATAGCTAAAAGTCTATGTATTATATTAATTGCATTTGCAATTATTTACCTGAAATATACATTACGCCTCCATACACAGTTCCAGCATGGCCATAGTGGGGCTCACTCATTTTGGCAACGTAGGTCCATTCATTTGTTCTTGGATTGTAACATTCTACTGTAGCTGTTGTTTAAAAAATAAAAAGAAAGAATGAATGAATTTTTTAAAATGATTTATAATTTCAAATTTAGCAATTAATCATTTTTCCTTTTAGGTGGAACAATAATAATATCCAAATAACTGAAACATTTCTATTATAGCTATGAGATATTCTTTGGGGGTCACTTATATTAATTATTGACGTTATGTTAATAATATGAACCATTAATACATTGATACATGTTACATCAGACGAGCTACGTAATATAATAAGGTAACATTTCCGTTGCTGCAGAAAGCACTAGGATTGGGCTTCCCTGGTGGCGCGGTGGTTGAGAGTCCGCCTGCCGATGCAGGGGACGTGGGTTCGTGCCCCGGTCCGCGAGGATCCCACATGCCGCGGAGCGGCTGGGCCCGTGAGCCATGGCCGCTGAGCCTGCGCGTCCGGAGCCTGTGCCCCGCAACGGGAGAGGCCGCAACAGTGAGTAGGCCCGCGTACCACAAAAAAAAAAAAAAAAAAGAAAGAAAGAAATCACTAGGATTTATTTTCTTCTAGGATCTTGTTACATCTTTATAATTTGACATTTCTCCCATTTCTTTGCTCTACATATGTGGGAAGAAAAGATGAAAAAAATCACAAGGAAGAAAAACACTTTGATTCTATATGATACACCATATAGGAAACAAAGGTTAACAGATATGAAGCAAAAATTTAAGTTGAAAATGAAAGTATGCACACTGCCTGGTGTATGTTTTGATGCCTATTGCTTTATTTTATATTCAGACTACAAAATGGACACTGACGATAATTTTTCAGTATTTACACATTAAAGCCAATAGCTTGAATATAACCACCCAATACCGTTGTAGCCAGTACTGCTCTTAACTTGAAGATGATTAGCAGCGTAATATGAAGTTAAGATTTTTATCAGGGGTACTTCCTCTCAGTAACAAATTTATCATCTTTAACATAAAATATCTGAGAAGTGGCCTCATCTTACTTAAATATCAATCTGTTATAACCTCAAGACTAGAACAATGACAGTCCAGACAGGTAGAAAATGTGATCTTTTTTAAAAGGCAGAAAAACAATAGGGATGTTAGGAGGACTCTGGTCAAAAGTACAACATCTAGACTGATTTGAAAAGTTTATACTATTTATTGCAGACGTTGCCACTTGCTAACCCAAATGCTTGTCTCCACTAACCCTGCTTTTTTCTTACTAACAGAACCACAACACTGCTCAGGAAAGCACTGCGCCCAACTCAAAATAAAATTCAAATTAGCAGGTTCCCTTGAAGCTGGAATTGATGATATGATACAGTTGTAGGCAATGGAATGGAAGCAGGAGGATACTGAGTGGGGCTATTTGATCAAGCCACCGGAATAAAATTTGGCTACTTGCAGCCAAATGCAATCCTAATTGATGAATCATCCTTTGAACAAGTTTTCCTATTTAAGAAAACAACAGTAATGTGAGAACAAGCAAAACTAGAGAGAGAGAGAGAGATTAATTTTCTACTCTCTTCAATAACTTCATCAAATTCACTACATGAACTACTTATTTCTCCTCTAACAACACCTGTAGTATACCACTTCTCATATCCCTTTACTGATTTCCTTTGCTACTTTAGTTCTGAATTTTCAGTCTTATTTCAAAGGCTTTTAACTGTTCTCTTGCTTCAGGCTTGGACCCTTACCAACTCTATTTCTTCTAAACCTTCCCATCAGGTAGCAAGATCCTGCAAAATCTTGCCCCCAAATAAGGGCTATTTCCACAATTAATGACAAACTAAAATTGTTTGCTCCAATACTGTTTGTGACTGTTTTCAGTCACTGGATGTTTTCTTTCTTTCTTTCTTTCTTTCTTTCTTTCTTTCTTTCTTTCTTTATTTTTGGCTGCGGTGGGTCCTCGTTGCTGCACACGGGCTTTCTCTAGTTGCGGCGAGTGGGGGCTACGCTTCGTTGTGGTGCGCGGGCTTTTCATTGCGGTGGCTTCTCTTGTTGCGGAGCACGGGCTCTAGGTGCGCGGGCTTCAGTAGTTGTGGCACACGGGCTTAGTTGCTCTGCAGCATGTGGGATCTTCCCGGACTAGGGCTCAAACCCGTGTCCCCTGCATTGGCAGGAGCATTCTTAACCACTGCGCCACCCGGGAAGTCCTGGATGTCTTCTTGAATGTTCAGTTCCATTTGCCTTCAGCGTGACTTCTTTTGCCTAATTGACAAGCAAAATCCTCCTGAATGTATATTAATGGTAGGGTTTTATCCGACAAAAGAATGTAGGCTAATCACACATCCTATCAGAAGGGTTTTTTTAAAGACTTCTTTCCATCTATTTGATGTCAAAAGTAGCTTTTACTCCAGTTCTATGCTTTTCTTAATGAAGAATTCTGCCTTGAACTTTGAAATTTCTAGACTGTTACACTCTTTCTTTACGTCTAATTCAATCTGTTCTGGGACTTCCCTGGTGGTCCAGTGGTTAAGACTCTGTGCTCCCAATGCAGGGGGCCTGGGTTCTAACCCTGGTCAGGGAACTATATCCCACGTGCCACAGCGAAGACCTGGCACAGCCAAATAAATAAATAAATATTAAAAAAAAAATGAGAGCAATCTGTTCTGATGCAGTTTGCATTAGTTTCCTCTTATTCTTTTTATAGGGAGCTAGAATCTGAATAGCTATTCACTCTTTACGATTATTAAAATTTTCCTATGTAGAAAGATAATGCTGTTCTTCTATCACTGAGTTAACTGCATTTTTTTGGTGATGGGGGTTATAAGAATCCATCTATACTTTCTCATACAGGGGTCCCTGAAATGTAAGATGGCTATTAATCACCAATAACACAACAAGTATATAATAGTTCATCATCCCTAAACTTGTCTTCTTCCAGCTAGATAACCCATCTCCTTTAGCTTTTCCCATCATTTAATCTTTATTGCCTCCATGCAGGATTGTTATTATTAGTAGTAAAATCAGTATATTTAGTTTTAAAATAGAATATATCTAATTAACAAGTCTATATACTGATACATGCCCTTAGTCCTATTTTCCGTATTTACAAGGCAATGAGATGTTAGTGCCAACCACCTTGATAGGGGGAGGGGACACGGGATGAGCATCAAGGAGTTGGAGCCACAAAGCAGTGAGTCCATCACAGTCTGTGACAGGTAGGAATGGTAATGAGGTAATTGGGAAAATCTAGAACAGGGGAGGTCAGGCAAACTATAGCCTGTAAGCCAAATCCAGTACGTCGTCTGCTTTTGTATGGCCAACAGGATAAAAATATGAATGGCTTTTACATTTTTAACGAGTTGGAAACACAAATCAAAAGAAGGATAGTTTGTGAAATATGAAAATCATATGGAATTCGAATTTCAGTGTTCATATATAAAGCTTTATTGGAAAACAACTTCACTCATTTGTTTATAAACAAATTGTCTATAGTTGCTTTCATAATACAATAGCAGAGCTGATTAGTTGTGACAGAGATCCTACAGCCTGCAAAGCCAAAAAGATTTCCTTTCTGGCAACAGGGATCAGTTTTCTGATCCCTATTCTAGAGAACCACCTTCAGTAGTCTGGTGGCCTAGTATTTAAATTAGAGACCCTCCCTAATTTAAGAATTACACTTCGGTTGGTTATTTCACATAACTCGTCAGGGACTCATTTTCTCAGGTGACTCCACTGGAGTTCAGAATCGCGCACAAGGGATGACGTGGAATTTACTTGTTCTTTGAGGTTAGGAAAGAGATTAGTCCTGAAGAAAACCATTTAGACAATAATGGCTGCCACAAAGAGGGGATGGTCTCTAGAATCCTAGAGTGCCAGCTGGTAATATGTCGCTTAATAAAGAAACTGCAAATCCATTAAGGGATATGGATGCATTTGATAAATTTTATTAATTTTATTGTACATTTGTTTGGAAAAATTCAACACGTTTTCTATAAGTTATTTCATTATTTGAAAGCCTGACTTATTTAACTGAAGTGAAAGATATCTGAGCTGTCATATTTCTCCTCAATACAGAAAACCTCAATGGAAAATCAATTTCTTATATGACAATTTTGAAAGATACCAGAAATAACTGACCCCTTTTTCACTTAAGTGACAGCTACTCTAAGCTTTCCCCAGTTTCCCACTGTACCCAGTGTCAAAGGAAAGTAGCATTTCTAAGGAATTATATTTCAGCAATAAGCCAGGCTCACACACACACTAACAGTACCGTTTTTATGTACTATGGGCTTGGGTCCATACACTCCATGGCAAGATTTTAAAAGGCTAAATGCATTAAAATGATCTAAAATGTCTTGCGAATGCTGCCACTGTTTTCTTTTCATCATTATATGCAGGCGATGGTTATTGTGTGTATGAAGAATAAATGATGTACTGGTACTAATGAACCTGTTAAACTGTGAAATGATTTTCCCATCAATCCCGTTTTCCTGACACCCATTCCTACTCCCCTTCTCTATTTACATAGACATATGACTATGTCAACATAATCAGTTAAGATGGAATGTTATTACAACAGATGTTAGTATGGGGCGGAGGGAGGGGGTGCCATTAAAAAACGCTTATGGAACACGAGAAATGTTAAAAACCCCGCCTCGCTGGAACATTCAGAAATATAAGCAAGCATTTCTTTAGAACCAAAATCTACTATTCTGCAAAAATAATGGGTCTAAGAAAATTACAAAGGGCAACTGACCCATATCCTCTTCTTATTTATACAAGGAGAAACATTATAAACAGAATTCAGAAGAACACATTAATGTTCTTCTTTTGGGAGGTAATCAGGGTGGTTACATCACGTTTGGTTACCTCAACGATACAGACTGTGACGAGATGGACCCGCCTACTTCATATCCCCACATGGGTGTAAAACAGGAGGAACTCAAAGGGGTAGGGTGGGTCAGGCGGAAAAAAAGCCAAAACAAAACGAAGCTGCTTGCTACTTGGTTTTATATAAAGACTCTTTTGGGCCTGAAGGTTCTCCTGGAATCAAGACTCTATACTGGAGTGTACTTAATAAGTCAATCACACGATTTTTTTTCAAAAAAATTCCAATATATTTTAACTTCAAATATGTAGCACAGAATGGATTTGCTGGGTATGCTGATTTTAAGGGAAGCAATCATCTTCTATAAAAGCTTAGTTGCTTATAGATTCTAGGAGAAAATTTCAAACGGAAAGAAATATCAAATAGTTGCCCTCTAAATGGAATTATAGTTGTCCTTTGGTATTGAGGGTTTGTGTCTATATTATAATCATACATTTATTTGTGAAAACACAGTTTATGAATTAAGATAAAAATGGACCTCTGTTTACCACCTAGACGGGGAGTATTTTTTTAGAATATTTAAATCATTATCCTTAGGTTTAAGCTCTGGGCGATTGTGTTTTTAAAGTCTAAATATAATCAAACAGTTATTACAAATTTAGGAACAGCTCATGAAAAGCATGATTCTCTTGTATCCTGTCACTTTCAAACTGAAACACAGAAGCCTGTTTTTAATAAGACATTAAAGGGGTGATTTCTGAAGGTCATGAGCAAGGAAGCCAGCCGCTTGCCCAACGGGGTAGTCTACTTTTTGTTTCCAGTTGAGCATAACGTGGGAATAACTCAAACAGGGTAAGGATTAAGTCAGAAGAAGGAAGCCTCTAGCGCCTCAGTCTTATATAACAACTCTCCTTGGCCTGAAGATGATAAATTCTCAGAATATAAATATTAGGAACAATATATTGAAAACTTAATAGCTGCATATTAACAGAGGTGATAACATTACCAAGCAAGCAGTGACTGAAAAATGGAGCTATTTCCTTAGAGAAAAGAAGTTTCAAAATGACCACTGACTGCCAGGGCTCATGACCTATAATTTGTAAACTTGTAAAGATGAACTTACATAAGTGGTTTTGCTAAGAAAGTGTCAAGTCACTACTTGCATCTTCTGGTTATTTCCAGACACCATAAATTTAAAATAGTATAATAACATGAACATAATGTGTGTGGGTTGACTGAGGAAATGACAATCCTACACTAAAGGTATTAATGTGTCAAGTGCTTTTAAAAGTCTGATTATTAAAATATATTGGGAAACTTGTGTGGTTCACGATCCTGACAGCTAGGCCAACAACCTGGAAAGTCTGGCCTTAGAAAAAATTTCACTGTGACAACAAAGGGGGAAAAAAAATGGGTAGGAAACATCAGCAACATTAAGACCATGTCACTCATACAGATTTGCCAACAAACACGTGAAAAGATGCTCAACATCATTAATCATTAGAGAAATGCAAGTCAAAACCACAATGAGGTATCACCTCACACCGGTCAGAATGGCCATCATCAAAAAATCTAGAAACAATAAATGCTGGAGAGGGTGTGGAGAAAAGGGAACCCTCTTGCACTGTTGGTGGGAATGTAAACTGGTACAGCCACTATGGAGAAAAGTATGGAGGTTAATCAAAAAACTACAAATAGAACTACCATATGACCCAGCAACCCCACTACTGGGCATATACCCTGAGAAAACCATAATTCAAAAAGAGTCATGTACCACGATGTTCACTGCAGCACTATTTACAATAGCCAGGACACAGAAGCAACCTAGGTGTCCACTGACAGATGAATGGATAAAGAAGATGTGGCACAGATATGCAATGGAATATTACTCAGCCATAAAAAGGAACGAAACTGAGTTATTTGTAATGAGGTGGCTGGACCTAGAGTCTGTCATATAGAGTGAAGTAAGTCAGAAAGAGAAAAACAAATACCGTATGCTAACGCACATATATGGAATCTAAGAAAAAAAAAAACAAACGGTACTGATGAACCTAATGGCAGGGCAAGAATAAAGACGCAGATGAAGATAATGGACTTGAGGATACAGGTGGGGAAGGGTACGCTGGGACGAAGTGAGAGAGTGGCATGGACATATATACACTACCAAATGTAAAGTGGATGGCTAGTGGGAAGCTGCTGCATAGCATAGGGAGATCAGCTCGGTGCTTTGTGACCACCTAGAGGGGCGGGATTGGGAGGGTGGGAGGGAGGCTCAAGAGGGAGGGGATATGAGGATATATGTATACGTATAGCTGATACACTTTGTTGTACAGCAGAAACTAACACAACAATGTAAAGCGATTATACTCCAATAAAGATATATATTAAAAAAAGACCATGTCACGAACAAGAAAGAGCTTGATAAGCTGAAAAGTTTAAGAGCTGAGAGCAGCTCTTTTTGTCTCCAATAAACTGCTTATTCTCAAATCCATTAGACTACCTTTTATTTTTTAGAATACTGAAGAAAAGGATTCTGATAATTACTCTGAATTTATCCAGAGCCAATGCCAGTATTTTAAGCTTCCCCAGCATTATGGAACCTGGAAGACCGTTCAACTACAGGGACTCTATTTCGAACAGAGAATAAAGGAAGATGGGTGTTACCCACTGTTACCAAACAATGATGGTAATGACAGATATGTAACACATGACATAAAATGTGGTCTTTCTGACTTATTGGGCAGCCACCTTGTTCCAATTTTATCTAAAATAACAAAATTAGTGTTAATTTATGTAGCCAAAGTATTGGTCTATGTTAACTATACTTGTCGCTGATCTTAGATTAGGAAGAAGGGACCATCAAATAATAAAGCTTACCAGATCAGTTTACAGTGAAGAAAACTGTTTCGTATTTCACCGAGAGAATGATTTTTTGAGACTGATAGTTACCTATCATAATACTCACAGTAAATAAACTCTGGATAATATTGAACTCTGAACACTTAGTAGATAAGAAAATCATCTTACTCTGTGGCCTGTGGTAGGTAACAGATTACGTAAAAGAAGCAACTATAAAAGTCCGTGCTCTGTAAGGAAGAATTTTAACCTGCTCAGTAAACTATTATGTGGGCTTTTAAAATGGAACATGAGGGAACATGCCAAACTTCTGTCCAAGATACTATTAGAATTTAAATGAGCAGAACATACTTTTTAGTTGAACCTTCAAGATGAAAACCATAGATATTGCACAAGTAAAACATTCTGCAACATATTGATATATTTGTAAGATAATAATTTGTAGTGTGGCCAACAATGTATGCCCAGATTAGGCGTAACAGATGGTCTCTGATATTTTCTAAGAAAAACAGTTTAAAATAAAATCCTGGCTACATTTTTTGGTCTTTGATGTTACAAAACTGCTTATTTTGTGATTTGACAAGAATCTGGGGGTAAAGAAATTAGTCTCTATGCTTAATAGAAGTGCACACACTTACGCAGTTCACCAGCTGCATTTCGCCCACCAACTGCATACAGGTATCCTTTGAGGGCACTTAGGTGGAAGAAGGTGCGCTTTTCATTTAAAGATGCAACTTGCATCCACTTATTGTATCGAGGATCAAATCTGAAGACTGTATCAACTGCCGTTTTTCCTTTTGTGTCATAATTACTCTGTCCACCAACGACGTACAGGAAATTTCCAATGACGGCAATGCCATGCTGGTACCTTGGGGCATCCATGGGGGCTAAGGACTTCCACTCGTGAGCCTTTTCATCATACATGCGCAATTCCTTGCTGACAACCAGCTGCTGCCTCAGCACTCCTCCTAGTGTAACCAAATGAGTGGTGTCAGACCGAATGGCAGTCCTGTCTGACTGCATCACTGGCTGCATATATGGCATCATTTGGTAATTGCTGGCTTCCAAAAGGAGATTCACACACGTGTTGTCAGTTCTCATGAAATCCACGGTTTGCACGTAATTAATGAGCTCCTGTGGTGTCATCAGTGGAAATCGTATGTTCTTCATTAATTTTGCAGCAAAGTCCATCCGAGGCTCTTCTAGGCGTAGCCAGCGACAGGTAGCCTTAAAGAGCTCAAGTTCAGTGCAGTGCTTAAGGCTATTACTGGAAAGCACAAAGGCAAGACGTTCAAAAGGGAGTTTCAAGAACTCCCCGGTGCTCAGCAATGCGGGAAAATTCTTCAAGACGAAACTGTTAACGTATTTATCCACTTCTGTCAGATTGTAGGTGTTGGCAATCCGCCCAACTTCGACACAATTGTCTAAAGTGACCTATTAAGCCAATTACAAAAAATTAAAACCCAACTACTTTCATGGCACTCACGCCTGGATACATAAATACCTGTACTAGAATGAGAGTAAATATGCTTTTTACTGCCCATATAGATGCAAATGAAGCTTCCTTTCTCCATATATTAACGATTTAAAGGGAATTCACAAACTACCCTTACCTAATCCAATAGAAAGGTGACTAAAAGAAAATGCTCATTCCAAGTCAGTAGATTGAAAGTTACTCTAAGAAACAATGGTATAACTTGACTATGGCCAAAATAATTACTTTTCTCTCCTCAAAATGTGTCCTCACCACCCCCAGCCAAATACTAAGAAAATTCTGGCCAGATGGAAGTTCTGGAAAAATAGAAAGTTATTCTATTATGAACCATCTCAATCCACTTTTCAGTCATGATTCTTAAAAGTAACTCAGCTAGCAGATCCACACACAGAAAAACTCTAGTACCCGATCCCTAAATGTCTCTTTCATGTCAACAGGCTTCATTCATCACTATGATTCATTTTAATTCCTTTAAAATTTATTGCTTATAGTGAAGATAATTTAATAGGACCATTATTCCTAGGGTGAAGTTATTCTCCATATTATTTAGGTAGAAACCGAAGCAAGGAAATCACTTTCTTGAGGGCTGGAATGGGTGTTTCTACATCAAATCATTCCTTTTGTTTAGTTTTTGGTATGTATGCTGATGGCTGGCACCATATTTCTCCTTAGCCACCCTCTTACTCTCAGCATACTGTAGCTCTGCCTGGAGTCCGCGTTAGCCCCCCGAGATTTCCCCAGCACAGAGTAAAATATACCAAAAACGGGAGCCGTGAAAAGGAGAGAAGCTATGGAGA